CTTCAGAAAGCAGATGGTTTCATTGTTTCTCAAGAGCTTTAAGTGAGTTCTGTGCGCTGAATAAACGTTAGTCTTTATGCTGACCATGGACCATTGCTAGCACAGGGGAAACAGCGCAGCAAGGTGGGAGGTCAGGAAAGACTCCGCTCACCTGGGGCACATTAAGTTAGAGGTGATTTTTGAGATCCACAAGAAGATCAGGGTTGGAAATAAACAAAAATGAAAGGGTTGAGACTGGCGCATGTTTAAGAAGTGACGGATGACCTATAAGAAAAAAGGCATGTCTCAGTTTCTCATTTTCAAAGACACAGCCATGTTTAGGTCAGAGAGTGGACCCTCCTATACCCAGAGACTTGTATAGGGCTGTTGAGAACAGACTAGAGCACCAGCCAGCAAATGTTCACTACCATCACAAATTTATTCATGAATTATTAAAGTAAATATTTCAAGGTCTGAAAGCCTCTAGATAATACTCTGCTCATTATTTTGCTTCCTCGGGTTAGAGGTCAAGACTTCTACTAACTTTCATTTGTCAAAATATCTTAACACTTCAATGTATTTGGAAAAATTTCAAAGGTTTCTCAAACTAGCGAGCATTAAGTAGTGCAGTGCAATCCTCCAAATTCTTCTTCTCTTCCTGTTCTTATGATGTCAGTGGTGGAAGTACACACTGCTCCCTCGGTTTGTAAAAACTCATCAGAAACGTACATGACTATGATCCCCAGTTTGATATGAAAGCAGTTCTGTTCAGGTGCAACCAGAGAACTCTATGCAAACTTCTTTAGTTTGTTGGCCTTGCCAACCGAAAAGTTGTGTGGTTGACCACACTACAATGGAATTAACATGTCAGTGTATTTGCACTGGACTACTTTTAGTAGCTTTAAAATAATAGTCTATGCAAGTATTCATTCAACAGATGGTTGGTGATCCATCTATTATGCAAAAATGCCAGATGTGTGCTATGTCTGGGGCCACGTGTCAAGCACTGGGAATCCACAGCAGGTAAATGGAGGCTGTGCATCAGGGTGCAAATGTATGAAATCTCACATTCAACTCTAGAGTTCCCAGCTTTCTGATCTTGCCAACGTTTTTAATCCCCTTAGTCTTAATGCAAACTAGAAGAAATAATGTCTACTTTCCAGGGCTGTTGTATTGACAACAGTATACAATGTAGTAACAGCAGCCATGCAAAGCAAGCCTCCGGTGAACTGTTACAAACTCTTTGCCCTGCAGGAGCTCTCTGTTTTACTTTAGTTGTTATTTAGATATAGCCCTTGTCCCACTTTAGTTGTTATTTAGATATAGCCCTTGTCCCGTCTGTCTCTGTGAAGACACAGGTATGGTAGTAGGTGAGTGGACTGGTGTATGTGGATGGCAGAAGGAATAGATGGGTCTGAAACAAAATAGCCTTAGTTCCAAGGACTGAGTTAAAAGGACCCAGGACTTTATTACATTCTGGCATATTCTTATAGTGACACCTCACTTAATGCTCACAATCATCCTGGCTAAGGTACTCTTAGCTACTTCCATTTTACAGAAGGGCAACCCGAGGCACAGGAAGCTCTGGTTCTTGCCTAAGGTCACTAGGAAACTAGGTTTTAGATTTAGGTGCTGCAGTGTCAGAGCCCACACTTCTGATCACTCACGTTTTCTCCTGTTTGTCTTTGTTTTTCAGGCTTCATTTATACCAAGTAGAGACTATGCTCTTTAGAAAATTATACAAGTAGTCTTTTCTTTGTTGGTGTGTTTTTGTTTTTTGAGACAGGGTTTCTCTGTGTAACAACCTTGGCCGTCCTGGAACTAGCTCGGTAAACCAGTCAGTCTGGCCTCAAATGCAGAGATCCATGTGCCTCTGCCTCCCGAGTGCTGGGATTAAAGATGAGCACCACCATTACAAATCAAGGAAAAAGTCAAACAGAAAAATAGGTATAAATTTGGAAGAAGTTCTGGTTAAATCGTTTCTTCTCACCAGGTTTTAGCTTCTCACCAGACCACACAGGCTTCTTCATCCTTGTAGATGTTTTCCAAGGAGGCCCAGCCCAGCTCTTCTCTTGTGGAATGACTAGTTTATGGACAATTTTTTTTTAGATTAAAAATATTTTAAATATCCCCATTTTCCCACTCTTTGGGGAGCATGAGTTATGTAACTTTTCATTTACTTTGTTGAGTCACTGATGAAGCCCTGTGTTTGTGACAAGGGATCATCCTGGCTCACCAGCACTTTCCACTAGAGGGCACTGTGTTGGACATCACAATTTTGTGTGTGTGTGTGTGTGTGGGGGTACATTGTGGCTACTAAGAGATCATATTCTATTGAAAGTATACTTTGATCTTTATGGGCATACTGGCCATAATCTAGTTCATTTAGAAACAATGAAATGGAAAAATAATATAACTCCATTTTTTTTTTCAGAAGAATCTGAGAACTGAGTCTTAAGAAGGGAGTGAATAGCTTATATTTTCATAAATCACAAGATTCCTAAAAAAGAAACAAATGTAGGCTGGTCCTGAGTCCAAAGGCCACCTAAAGAATTAATATGCTTCAAACAAAACTCATCTTGTAGAATGCCTGGAGAACTCTCGCCTCTGGTCCTTTAGATTTAGAACTACACACCAGAGCTTTAAGAAGCTGTGAACTTGAGTGAGCTCATCAGGGGAAGGAAGAGGCAAGTTAGAGAAGGAGGTCTGTCCAAGATTCCTCAGCTCGACTGCAGGCTGAGGAGTGAGTTTGAGAAACTCTGTTCAGTGTAACTCTGACTTGTCTCCATCCTTTATGACCAAGTGTCTTTATTCCTTTCTATGTATACCTCTCCAGGGCACTGCCTCTTCATGCCCAGTTCACCACTTCAGCTGACCTCGTGTGGAGGCCATGTTCCCGCGAAAATAAAAGTGGTGTTTGTTTTCGTTTTTAGACGGGTATCTCATTAGCCCAGGCTGGCCTTGGACTGGTTGTATAGCTGAAGGTGCCTTTGCCTCCTCAGTACTGGGATTATAGGCGTTCATCATCACACTTGGCTTTAGCTGGCCTCTTAGTTGGCCGGTCAGAGAGTCTTTTCTCTCCAAATGCCCTTCCCCTAAGGCAATAGCTGACGTCTGCATCTTTATAACGAATGTGTGGTGTCGATTGGCTCCCTGTGCCTCTTGGCTTCTATCGATCTCTGCTTCCAGCAAGTGCCTTCTGAACTGACTCCTCCCTGGGATTTCTATTCCACAGCATTTATTGCTCTCACACAGGCTACAATGTGTTATGTTGGGTTGTGGCAAATGCAGATGGAAATTAAGTTAATAAATAAAAGTAACAGATTTTTTTTTTTAAAAAATTGTGTCAGACACACAGAGGAAAATAATTACTTCTGTAAGTCAAAATGAAATAAAGTAAAAAAAAAAGGGCCAACAGGGGGAGAAAAAGTACAAAATTTTAGCTGCTTATACCAGGGAAAGCTTCCTAGAGAAGGTAGGTACCATTTGAGGCGGGACTTGGAGAACACATAAACAGACCGGGGTAGGGGCATACATCCTGCCTGAGGCACTGTGTTAGCAATGAGCAATGAGCTTGGGAACATGTGTGATGTACCTGAGGAGGTTCCCAGAATGCATCCCACGGGGCAGACCTCTGGTTAGTTTTCCTGCTTCCCTCACTTGGAGTCCCCCTATCTCCTGTCCTTTTTTTTTTTTTTTTTTTTTTTTTTTTAATCTCCTTCCCTACCGTGTTGAGGTCTGGCCTTAGCCTTGTACCTCCACTAGATCTTTTCTGTCCTAGCTCATGGTACAGTATAGGACTTAGATGCAGTTAGTGTCAGTTCTGGAATTGTCTCTTTAGCTAGATAAGGGCAAGATATAAGCTCATCTTATATTTTCAGTCTTGCAGCCCTGGAAATAGTAATTGGTGCTAGAATACTCTAGGGATCCATTCACGAGGACACACAATTTCCTTTCTTCTCCTCTTCTTCTTCCTTTTTAGAGCTTTATTAAATTTGTTCTTTGAAAATTTCAAGCATTCTGAATGCTGTCTCCTCCATATACTAAGAATTCTTATCAGGAAAGCCTTTGTTTTTATTGAGCTATATATTTTTCTCCACTCTCCTCCCTTCCTCCCCCCTCCCCTTCTACTCTCTTCCATGGTCCCCATGCTCCCAATTTACTCAGGAGATCTTGTCTTTTTCTACTTCCCATGTAGATTAGATTCATGTATGTCTCTCTTAGGGTCCTCTTTGTTGTCTAGGTTCTCTGGGGTTGTGAATTGTAGGCTGGTTTATCTTTGCTTTATGTCTAAAAGCCACTTATGAGAGAGTTTATATTATATTTGTCTTTCTGGTTCTGGGTTACCTCATTCAATATGATCTTTTCTAGACCTATCCATTTGCCCGCAAATTTCAAGACATCATTCTTTTTTCCACAGTGTAGTTCTTCATTGTGTAAATATACCACATCTTTTTTTTGTTTTTTTTTTTTGAAGTCCAAAAATGGAAATAGATCAATTTATTACAGTGTATAGACACAACCAAGTGATCCATAGTCAAGTTTTAGGATAAAACTTAATACGCAGAAAATACCTAAAATACATTGTTAATTAAAAACTAGTATACCGTCTTGTACGTAAAAGAACTTGCATCAAATGTCAACAAGAGTCATCTTCCCTGCATGGTTGGTGTATGAGTGATTTTCTTTCTTTTTTAAATTTTTTTTTAAAGATTGATTTTATTTTATTTTTTTAATATTTACTTATTTATTGTATATACAGTGTTCTGTCCACATATATGCCTGCAGGCCAGAAGAGGGCACCAGATCTCAACACAGATGGTTGTAAGCCACCATGTGGTTGCCGGGAACTGAACTCAGGACCTCCGGAAGAGCTATCACTGCTCTTAACCGCTGAGCCATCTCTCCAGCCCTCTTTTTTAAATTTTTATTATAAAAAAATTACTTAAATTCTTAAATTTCATTATACATACCAAATCCAAGATCCTACTCCC